TATTCTATTTTTGACTTTCTTCAGTCACGTTTTTTTCAACCATTTACACAATTTGCTTGTATTTTACTCACTTCACTGCGCACAGTAATTCTTTATCTTGGGATCGACGTCACCAAGCACCGCTGGATCCATGAAAACCACCGAAGCCTCAAGCCGGCTTTTCAGTGCTGAGGTGTTGTCTCAGACCATGCATGGATTTTTGCGATGACCTCCCGGTTTTCCAATAATGTCTTGGATTTTGTTGATCCAGCTCGAAGGACCAAGTTATGTCAGGAAACTTTTTCTGTTAGATAGGACTGTAAAATATGCTGGTAGTTCATACCCCAGTTTCCTAACACACAAAGAATCAAATAAAGAATCAAATACGAGATCTCAAAGTTTTAAAAGTTTTACTTGCAGCAAGGAGTGCAGAACATTGGTTACATTCAGAACTGCACTGAGGAACACCTCAGTGCTCAGAGTTTAAATACAGTTTTTTTTACACACACACTTCAATGGTCAGTATCTTGGCATTCCACAGCCATGCGGTGTTCACGTGCCACTTCTGAGCACTGATTGGTAAAGACTGCTCCAAACAAGGATTCTCCACCAATAGAAGCTATGTGCATGTGCTGTAGTTAATCAAGTCAGATAAGACCATGCAGTTCGGATGTTTTTCTCTTTTTGTCTTTTGTTGGTCTTCCGTCGGTCTACTTATTTGGGCAAAGAAACTAGTTCTGGCCGGTTCTGTGTCCTGTCTCTATCTCCAGGTGTAACAGTCGGTACCATTCAGTGCTGTCCATATAATCCTGTTATGTAAACCTTCAGCAGACCTGTCTTCAGCACTTTCCCTTTTAGTACAGCATAATAACAGCATTCAATAACAGTATAAATTGATATGGAAACTTAATACAATGAATATATTGTAAAGATTGAATAAATGTATTTACAACATCTTAACAAGAGCAAATGAGAATCATAAGGTCAATGGAACTGCCTGAAGAGTTCAGAGACAGAATTGTGGCAAGGCACAGATCTGGCCAAGGTTACAAAAAAAATTGCTGCTGCGCTTAAGGTTCCTAAGAGCAGAGTGGCCTCCATAAACCTTAAATGGAAAACGTTTGGGACGACCTGAACCCTTCCTAGAGCTGGCCGTCCGGCCAAACTGAGCAATCGGGGGAGAAGAGCCTTGGTGAGAGAGGTAAAGAAGAACCCAAAGATCACTGTGGCTGAGCTCCAGAGATGCATTGGGGAGATGGGAGAAAGTTGTAGAAAGTCAGCCATCACTGCAGCCCTCCACCAGTCGGGGCTTTATGGCAGAGTGGCCCAATGGCTCAGTGCAAGACACATGAAAGCCTGAATTGAGTTTGCTAAAAAAAAACACCTGAAGGACTCCAAGATGGTGAGACAAAAGATTCTCTGGTCTGATCAGACCAAGATGTGTGATGGTTTCAGAAAACGGCCGCACCGCGCAGCCTGGCGTGGGTAGCGGGCCGGTGGGGGGGGGGGGGGGGGGGGGGGCATCATGCTGTGGTTTTTTTTTCAGCTGCAGGGACAGGACGAGTGGTTGCAATTGAAGGAAAGATGAATGCGGCCAAGTACAGGGATATCCTGGACAAAAACCTTCCCCAGAGTGCTCAGGACCTCAGACTGGGCTGAAGGTTCAACTTCCAACAAGACAATGACCCTAAATCACACAGCTAAAATAACCAAGGTGTGGCTTCACAACAACTTTGTGACTGTTCTTGAATGGCCCAACCAAATGGCTGTCCACCAACATTCACCATCCAACCTGACAGAACTGGAGAGGATCTGCAAGGAGGAATGGCAGATCCAGGTTTGAAAAACTTGATGCATCATTTCCAAAAAAACTCATGGCTGTATTAGCTTTATTAAAAAAAATTGTACTATAGTGAGCCCATATTTGAGAAACTGTTGTTAGCAGCAGATATGCTGTTAACAGGCTGCCCCTAGCAAGCACCAAGCATGCGATTCCTCTCAGAATCGAACACAGGACTCTCTGCTCTCTGTTTCCGAGGCAGGTGTGTTAACAGCTACACTATGGAACTGACTCTAAAGGGTGCTTCTACTAAATACTGAGCAAAGGGTCTGAATACTTATGACCATGTGATATTTCAGTTTTTCTTTTTGAATACATCTGCAAAAATGTCAACAATTCTGTGTTTTTCTGTCAATATAGGGTGCTGTGTGTACATTAATGAGGAAAAACATTGAACTGAAATGATTTTAGCAAATGGCTGCAATATAACGGAGTGAAAAATTTAAGGGGGTCTGAATACTTTCCTTACCCACTGTACATAAGTTTTCACAGTCTTTGCTCAACACTTTGTTGCTGCACCTTTGGCAGCAATTACAGCCTCAGGTTGTTTTGAATATGATGCCACAAGCTTGGCACACCTATCTTTGGGCAGTTTCACCCATTCCTCTTTGCAGTATCTCTCAAGCTCCATCAGGTTGGATGGGAAGCGTCGGTGCAAATTTTCAGATCTCTCCAGAGATGTTCAATTGGATTCAGGTCTGGGCTCTGGCTGGGCCACTCGGGGACATTCACCGAGTTGTTCTGAAGCCACTCCTTCGATATCTTGGCTGTGTGCTTAGGGTTATTGTCCTGCTGTAAAATGAAAA